TCTGAATGTCACTTAACTTTATCGTTTATAGGACATAAATGCATCCGCCGATGAGACGTTTAAGCTCCTGTCTCGCGAAGCTTATTCCGATTGTGAGCTTAATTGGCTAGAGCACTTGTCTAACGTGCTCGTGTTCCGATGTAGATTTGTATGCACAGGACAGGCTTAAATTTTATTGCGATGGACAGTCCAAACGAATGCGGCCGCAATCTTCGGAAACGCCTCCTCGACGATTTGCATCGTTCTTCCCCGGTTGGAGGCGCGCGATGAAGAGACGAGCGGCTGAAGGCGAGCATGCATGGCTTGCATGGTTTGTCGCTTTTCACGATTTCGTCTCGGACGAGTCACGCAAAGTGAAGGCAATCACGCGAAGGGAGTACAGGCATTCTCTATTTCTGTACTTTGGATAGTCCGCGATAGGTCGACGTAAACGAGACGGATCAACGAAATGTCAAACTTGTCGGACAACATCCCGAATAATTTTCAGAATGTTGGAAAGCTTTTCGTTTTACACGAAACTCGAATTGGCACGATTATCGTGACTTGTAAATGGAGATAAAAAATAATTCTAATTTTTAAATCAGAGAGATCGCCATCGGAGCGTTCGTTGCCGACGATAGAATTATATAAAAAAATCGGTTACGCAACGTATTCACTTTGAGAGACTCGCCTTGAGATAATCTTGAAATGCGGACCATCCGCTTTAAAAGTAGGCTGAAGTAGTGTCTCGGCAAATGCGTCGATTCGTCGAAGGATGGAATGTTATGACGCGCGCCGCGCGTTTATTCGCGACTTCCCCAATAATTCGATCGCAACGTCTTCTCATCGACGTTGAGATTAACATTCCGTCCGTGACATCGAATCGAAGAGGACTGCGAGGGGACCATATATCTTAAGATGAGAGAAATTGTCCGTCGAAGAAGGTTGCGAGTGTCAATAAAATACGCGAATGCTGTGTCGAAAGGCGTGCAAATATTTTTCAGAATTTTTCAAAATGTCTCGCGCTTCAATAAATAATTCAATCAATAATTAAACAACTATATAATATACATTATATCACATATATCCACATTACTGGCGATTTAATAATCATCTTCTTCGTTTTATCGTCACTAAGAGAGCAAGAGGGATAGGGGGGGAAAAAAAATAGTTTCTTGTTAATCTCCACTCTATCTTGATGAACTCATTTTTTTTTGGCTTAAAAGGGCAGTCCTTTCGCCGTCCTCCCGCATTTCTATCTTCGAAATGTATATTACACGAGAGTTGCTCGAGGAGCGACGAGGGAGAGGGTTGCATGAGAGCTGTTCGGTGATATCGCGGAAGGGAAGTTTCACGTGGGAAAAAAACCACTGTTTGATCGATACGTTGACGAGGACGATAACGACAACAAGGACGACAAGGACGACGACGAAAATGACGATAACAACTAGGACGACGAGGAACGAAACAATGTCATTAGGGGGAGGGGGGTGGAAGAGCGTGCGTGGTGTGCTTCGTTGAGTTTTGTTAATTTTTTTCAAAGTGTACATTAAAAAAAATACCAGCTTTTTACGCGACGACGGCTGTAAGATATAACAAAAAAAAAATAGGGCTTTCCTTCGTTAAGCGAGGTAAGACGAGGTTTAACGTACTTTCTCCGAGGACGATACTGCCGTTACGTATTGTATAAAAGAAAACTAAGTTAACTAATCGTAAATGCACGAAAAAAATTTTCTTAAACGGATAGCAACAAACAAAAAGGGCTTTGTAGTGTCTCGATACTCTCGAATCATTAATCCTACGTCGTGAGATAATAAATAATGATATTAATGAAATAAAAAAAAAATAAATAAATAAATAAATAAATATGAAACAAAAATCCTAGAGCTGGGCTAAAGCATATTGTAAAGTGTCAAGCTACGGAGCCTGTCGGCCAGTATAAATGAACAAGCAACTGCCATGGGTCATCAAGCTATAGGTAGAAACGTGCTAAGAATCCAATTTTAACAAGCTAGCTGTCGAAACATTTAAGAAAAAAAAACGCGCGAAGGATCGTCCATTAAAAAGAAAAAAAAGAAAAATCTGCGTACGTATGCATGCGTGTGCGAGTGTGTGTGAGGGTGCGTGTGTGCATGTGTGCGTGCTCGCGCGTGTTGGTGCGGACACGCGGACCGGATGACGCGCGCGTGTCCATGCGTAACGCACACGTGGACAGGCGCGCGTGCGCGCGCGCGCAAGACGAGGCACGCGAGGAAAATGCGAGAACACAGAGAAGCTCCTCCGTTAAGAATATGACATTCATTACTACTTAACAGGATAAAAATAACAAGAGAAAAAAAATATGGGTTATTTGCACAATATTATAAATAATTACTATATTTACTACGATTATTAAATTAAAGAGCAAATAATAAGAGGATAAAAAAAAAACTGTTGTTAAATAATTAATACACAAAAAGAGAGGGGGATGAGCGGAAATAAAGAGTAATAATTATAAAACGATTTAAGCTAACGATCGATATTGGGTCAAAATGGAAAGCGACGAAGATGATGGAGAGAGGATGCGATGAAGGGGGGGATAAGAAGAGAGAGAGAGAGGAGGAAGGAAAAGGAGGAGGATACGATTCGTTTGTTATCGATTAGTTAACGATCCTTACACATTATATTATTGTAATTATATAAAGTAAACGATTATTATCATAATAGTTACAATTAACAACAAGTTGTTACCGCTTTGTTATACATAATATAATTAATAATAAGATTAAAGAGAAAAAAAGTAAGAGCGAATGCATCGTTGATTCGTCCTTTACTTATGTAGATACTAAAAATACGATCGACTCTATTGTTTTCAATGTCTTCACCGTATCTCTTCGTTTGCTACCCGATTTCATTTCGTTGTCGAAGATTCGGTATTGTCGGCTTACCTCGCCCGGCCACAATATACACACGTTTTACAGAGATATTTTCAATAAACGAAAAAGCTTAACACTCACACAGCAGTTGTACTTTTTGTTCTCAATCTTGTTCACCGTCCCTGAGAGATTTCTCTCATTTTCGGTTTTCAATGAACGTGATAACGACAATATTTGTGTCTGTGCTATAAATATATCTTATCATCTAAAGAACTGTAATTCATTGTTTTAGATAATTTTAATCTCCAAAGAAAAATAAGATAAAAAAATAAGATATTGAAAAATAAGGTATTTGATTGATGATATACATATAAGCTTGTGCAAACTAACGTACGATATTGGAAACATGAAATCTTTTAAAATATACTCGATTTTACAGCAACAAGTTTCGCAGTTGGATAAAATGTTTAATTACAAATATAAAAGATAACGCGAGTCGCGTTACTTTTAAAAATGGATTATTTATAAAATTATGAAAATTGAATTATACAATTAAAAAAAGTATACATTTTAAACTTAATTTTCTCAAGATGCTTTGTTTGCCATTAACTATTCTATGTAACATTTAAGGATGTTTTGTACCTATTTTTAAAATATTGAGAATTTAATGAAAATTGTACAGAATGTCCTTACATATGTTTAGAATCTTCAGTACAATTTTTAAATCGATTCACTAAAGTGTTCACAAGTTATAAGGATTTTAATTTGCACCGAATTAACATGTGTTCTTATGGGAAACGTATAACCACGTCGATTCAAATGACAAAAACACACGGAAATAATATTCAGAATTTGTTAAAAATTTGCAAAAATTTGGATACAGAGGAAATATTTGATCAAATAATATTATACAAGTACTAATTGGTTAAAAAGATATTAAATATAATTCAATGAAGTTAGCCATATATCTGTCACAAGGCGAAATTCTCTGCCAAAAGTTAATCATTTCGATTCATGATGTTTTGTACTTATTTTCAAAATATTGAGAATTTAATGAAAATTATACAGAATGTCCGTACATATGTTTAGAATCTTCAGTACAATTTTTAAATCGATTCACTAAAGCGCAAGTTATAAGGATTTTAATTTACACTGAATTAACACGTGTTCTTATGGAAAACGTATAACCACGTCGATTCAAATGACAAAAAACAAAATAAATCAGAATTGTTAAAAATTTACAAAAGTTTAGATACAGAGGAAATACTTGGTCAAATAATATTATACTAACTAGTTAAAAAGATATTAAATATAATTTAATGAAGTTAGCCATGTATCTGTCACAAGGCGAAATTCTCTGCTAAAAGTTAATCATTTCATTAACAAAATTCGGAATATTTCAGTAAAAACGCAATAAATATTAAAAAATACATCTCTGCGCTGTAGCTAAGAAAAAAAATTGTAATATTCCCCACAATTTTTTACTCAAAATAAAATGGATATATTCGTCAATATTGATTTTCAGCTACTTTTCGCTGGGATTGTACACACAAAACATCCCTAAATATCTCGTATAAAATCCCACTCGATCGGATAAAAATAATGACGGATCTCGAGGTCGCGAAGGTCTCGTTTGGAGGAGCCACGTAAGAAGAGGAGAAGAGCTCCGGGATCATGAAAAAGGCAAAAGAGAAAAGGAAAGAAAATTCCGCTCTTATTTCGTCCGCCTGTTTACCTGGTAACTTCACCTGGGGTACAATCTATTCTTGCTACGGTGTCTACGGTGGGGGGGGGGGGACGGGCACACGTGACGCTACCGGATCATCGGATCGGATCAACGGGTCCGCAGCAGGGTGGACGGGTCACCATGCCGGCGAACGTAAAAAAAAATAAAAAAAGGACCAAGTACACGTTGGTATCATTTATTTTCAAATTTTTATTTAAAAAATATTATTTTTAAATTATTTTATATATTTTAAATAATTAATTTAAAATTTCATCTAGAAAATTAATTTTATTTTTTAACAACTCCTAATACTATAATATACTATATATTATAATCCATATACACTACCATTTTCTTTTTTATGCTGCCGTTACGTCCACTGGCGTTAGTCACGTCAAGGGCGCGCCGGGTCACCGAGCAGGCGTGGAGTCGTGGCGCGGCAGCGCGTGGGTGCTCGAGGGTTTGACGCGAGGGATCGCGAGGAGAGCGGAGCATGGGTGGGGTCCGGACTCCGGAGAACAAATCGCTGCCTCGCGAGTCCGCCAGCGGCCGTCGTGAACGTCCGGAACGTCGTGCCTTTTACGCATGGTGCGTACGCGACGTAGCAATGGCCGTCTCGTCGCCTCGCGCCCAGAGGAGGATGGCTGTTTCGAGGTCACTCGGGCCTCCTTCCCGCCGCTCTCGTCGCTGAGAGAGCTGGCGAATCAGTGAAACTGGAGCAGCGAGAAACGTCGCGCGTAACCAGTGGACGGGCTGTCGCGCGCGACAGTCGAGCTGTCAAGACCGTCCGAGAGAGAGGGAGGGGGAGAGAGGGGTCGGAGAGAGAGAGAGAGAGGGACGAGAAGACGAGGAGCTAGGAACTGCTGCGCGATTGCGTCGCTATCGTGTTTATCGGCAGGCTGGACGACGTATACTGACCTCACTTATTGTGCTGCGCTCGCAGCTGCAACGTCGCCGAGTCTCCGATGATTGTGTATCCGATATCTGAGCTGACTCATCATTCGCGGCTTGGACCGGACCGAGGAGAGAAATCGCGTATTTCGACATCGGAGGTTAGCGCCCAACAAGGTATGGCCGTGTATTTTTACTCGCGACTAACGTAGAACTTTATCGAGGGCCTCTGACGTTTTCTAAGAATGTCGTCGAGTGAGTATGTTTACGAACGGACGTTCAACTGGGAAAAGAATATGTGGGAAAACGGCAATATCGAGGAAAAGAAACTGTGGTTATTAGTATTCAATGAATGCGCATGTACTTTGAATATATGAGAAATTTAATTTAATATGTAATATTAAATTAATATTATATTTAATATATAATTTAATATGTAATTTATCGCTTTTGAATTTTTTCTGTGTTTGATATATAATTTTTGCACATTCTTTATTTCCATATCTCTTTTACATAAATAATTTTGTGGTTTTTATGATTTATTTTTTAATAAATATTACAAGTTGATTTTTGAAATCATTATACGTAGTATAATTTCTCTGTTTTGGAAATATATAGATAGGATAGAATCATATTTTCCCTATTTCTGTAACGCATTATCATATATTCTAATTCTTGCAGGTATTTTAACTTTAAAGAGCCTTGCTGGTATTCATAATGGAGAAAAAGGGGCTGCGCAAGAGAGATATATTGAGAATGGATGGTCTTCTGCCACCAACAAGACGCTTGCCAGTTTGTGACGCAGTATCTGGTGCATCGGACAAGAAAAAGGAGAAGAAATGGTCGATAGGTGGTATCCTGCGTCGAATATCCTCAATAAGGGATTACGATAGTTCCTCTAATGATGAAGAAATTGTATATTGCAACAGAACACCGAGAAAGCTCACCAAGCTCAACAGACAACCCGATGGTGTTGTTCTTCATTCGATAGAGGATAATGTAAAACAGAAGATGACAGCCGAAAGTAACGTTCGCCCCTCGACGGATCCGCATCGGGATTCGTTGCATTCGCGTAGTAGCGATGGTTCGTTGGACGGTTTAGGAAAAAAGACTCGAAGGAACAAACTGAAAGCTCGAGCGGAAGCAAAGAGGGATTATCTGTGCGTCGAGAGCAGTTCCGACGAGGATTGTCGCAGATCCAACAATTCGTTGAACAGGATTTACGACGCAGACGGCGCGCAAAATGGCCAGAGGAGCATTATCTGCAATAGAAAGACGCGCGCTGCTCGAACGGAGCGTTACATCAAGCGCTTATCTCGGGACGAAGGTAACGGCACTTGTGATAGCTTGAGCGACTCATATAACAAGAAGTGTTCCTTGGAACGTACCGAAGATAAGCAACGCGCTCTTTACGCAGACGTCAACGGATTGTGTCGGCCACCTGCACATCCGCGTCGATTCGGTGCGTTCCCAAATTCGAGTCGGGCGTTACCGGTCCAGAGATCCTCCGTGGAGACTTTCCGGGATCCGCAGCACGCAGGTTTGCCCAACCCGAATGAAGCTTTCAACGATTACAGAAGATATTCTACCGGACAATACGTCACGGACTTGAATCAGAATAACGCTTACGGAAAGATTTCGCGGCAAATCAGCGGAGACGCGGACAATCGAGCTGGAAACTTCTTTACATATCCCACGAAGAACGCGTACCATTACTCGGAATCGTTCGATTATGTTATCGACCATCGATCGATTGATCCGGACAGCCAACCGCCTGTGCCACCGCCAAGAGATCCCCGATACCGCGTATTCAATTATGGATACAGTTCCTATCCGATCAATAGACATCAGCATGTGCCAAATTCCTTGAAGCAAGAGGATCGCAAGACTCATACCGTGAGAGACATATCGAGACCTGATTGGAGAAACTTGGGTAACTATGGATCAAACAACGAGCTCGCTTGGCGCGATAAAGTGGAGGTGGAAAATTTGCCAAATCCTAGAGCAGAGTTTCGAAATTCGCTGGAGTGCATAAACAATAAATATAACTGCAGTCGTCATCGCGCGAATGAGTCGACTTACGAGGAAAGCGAAGCGATGAGATGTCGACGCAGAAACACTCGCAATGATCAACTCAATTGCATCGACGCAAATTATGGCGCGTACAAGGCCAAGAATAAATCAGCGAACATCTGCGAATCGAATAAATACGAGACGATTTCGTCGCACGCGTCTGTTGCATCGTCCGACTGGTCGTCTGGAAGATCTCCTTGTAACGTCGATAATCATGCCGAAAGCAACCAAATAAAAGACAATATAAGAACGACACCGACCGAGGAAGACCTGGAGAATAGACGAAGAAGCTCGAGGAACCTCGAGGAAGCTTTATCCGAGCTGGAAGCGATATACAACAGTCTTCGTCTCGGCGACGAAGACCTGCTGGATCGCGCGGAACGTCGAAGTATGGAAGAGTTCAGTCTCAAGCAAGCTAAAAACGAGCTGGACGCCGGGATCGTGATTACTCCGGACTCGCCGGATAGAACGAAGGATGACATGGCCTATCGAAGGATGCATCCCAAGGAGAGGCCCACGTCTCTGTCGGACATCGCGGGACAATCGACCTTGTCCAACATCAGCTACCTCATCGCCTCGCCCGTTCTTTCGCGACGAGATTCGGCGAACGATCTCGCGCGTCTACCGTCGACCTATCCGTCTCGTCGAGACGAACCGGATGTGATGCGCGACGACGTGGTCTTCCGCAGCATAAATCACGCCAACAACACTCTTAGAATAGTCGATCCGCAACCGCCGTTCGGTATACCGCTCGGACCGGTTGCAACAGCGACCGAGAGCGATTACTTGCACACGACACCGACGAAACCGGAACAACCACGCTCGCCATACATACCGCAATGCGAGCCCGATGTGGTCACGGATGACTTGGCTTACAGAGCGCTCAGGAAAGACGCTGGCGCGACGCGGAACGTCGTTGGAGAGAACCGAATCGACGTCTCGAGAGAGCAGCCGCGAGTTGGCCTAAAGAAGAAACGCGCCGTCAGGTCCTTGTCGGCCAATCTGTACGGATTGATCAACCAGGATCGAATTCACTTGCGACGCGAACCCAGTCTCGACACCATCAAGGACGAAATACACGTTGCAGCGAACAACTTGGCCTCGATGACCGAGCGACCGGAATATCTCAGGCGCGTTGTAAGCGATGGCGAGCTATCCGATAACGACGCAGCGCGTAGGCGAAGGGAACCAGCGGCGATTACAGGCGAGACCGACATTAACGGTAATCATCCGGCAGCGAACGCGTACCGGAAGAAGCCACGTATCTCACCGCAGCCAAGTCCCAAGAAGGAGAAGGAGCCAAATATCGCGGAGCTGTCAGATGCCATGCTGTCTTCGACGAATATCTTGGACGATAAATTTTGGCACGAGTACTTAGGCTCGGATTCTAACGTCTCGATGCCCGAGAGTAGTCGCAGCACGGAAACGGTGTTCACCGCATACAGCCGCCTCTGCCAAGATCTGGTCAACTTGATAAAAAGCGACGATGGCGACTCGTTGCCACTGATCGAGTCGTCGAAGCCAACCGATAAACCGAACGACTTGGACGTGAAACTCGGGGTCGATGAACCTTCAATGAGCGTTCCTGTACGTTCTCTAAGTAGTCATTGCCCAGAACGCGATGCGCGTGCCAACGACAAGCAGAGTCCGACCGCATTCCCGGTTGCGAATTCCCCGAGGCCCGCGTCGGAAACGACGCCAGCAGCCAGCAACCTTGATTTCTATCTTTGTGCGGTGGACGAGAATGTTGAGCTAATTGCGGCGGAGGCTTTCGACAGTTCGACCGACCGCCTACGCGACAGTCGCCTGTCCGCTCGCGACAATTCCTGGACGTCACGCAGCTCCGAGGTCGAGAACCAAAGCGCTAGCACGCGTAGCTCTACCCTATACAGCCAGGACGACCAAGGAAGCGACGACCGGCTCCTCGGATCCTCCAGACTCGAGGATGCTACTCGGGTACCTTCGAAACGCAATTCATCGACCAGCAACGACGGGGACCAAGACGCTTCTGGCCACTTGGAGAACATTTCCACTGCCGACGCGGAGTTCTCCAAGGCCGTTCGCGACCTGGAACTAGCCGCGGCCAGTCTGTGCGAGCACGAACGGGAGATCGAGGATCTGGGAAGGAAGACCGACGACGATGTCGCGGCATCCATCACGGACGAGGACGCTCCGATGCGTAAGATAAGTCTGATCGCCGATGCCCTGAGGCAGGAGCGGGAACGCGATCAGGAGGAGATGACCGTGGTACCGCCTAGCGGAATCGAGACGACGCGTGGCGATGCTCGAGACGAAGGTGAGCGCACAAGGTGCGAGCTTGACGGCGCGTTTCCCGATGCCACGTGTGTTGTCTCCCGTGTCACTAACATCATAACCGTCACGGTAACGACGTGCTCCATGTTCCTGCTCGCTTGTCTCCTCGCATTGCTTTTAGCGATCGTAGCGGCATTGTCAAGGCGCAATCAGTCTCTGTGAGTCATGCGTGTGTGTGATCCGTGACGCGCTGGACGCGGAGCGTCATCGACTGTAATGTATATCATAACGTGTACTATAATCCTGTGTTTATCTGCAAAACCCAGGTAGAACATGAGACTCATAAGGACGCCATTATGACGTCATCATGATTTTATTTATCCCTTAAAAGTTACCTAAAAATGATTAAAAAATGAGTTAAAGATGACAAAAAGAATCAAAAATTTTTAAGTTCAATAATCGCATTATATAATTTTAAAAGGATTATGTTGCGTAAATATAATTAAAATATATATGAATAATTAAATAAACAAGTAATTGCGTAATATATATATAATGTATATATATATATAATATATATATAAAATGATATTATGATTGATCCTTAAGATTTCATACGCGAAGTATATACAGGGTGTCCCAGTTATCTTCCGTCATCTTTCAAAGACAGATTCCTGGGATCATTTGAAGATGATTTTTTCTCAGCGAAAATGTCAATGAAGGCCATCATTTTTTTTTCATGGTCCGAATTTTTGTCATCATATATCTTTGCAATTAAGTCTTGAATTAAAACTCAACTAAAGTAAACTCTATTTAAAATTAATCGAAGAATGTAGTTTTGTTAATAATTTATTTCTACAAAGCTTAGTTTACGAAAAACCCCCTATTTCCAATCACTTATAATTCGAAAAATTATTAGTGCCTCGACATTTTCGTTGAGAAAAAATCGTCTTCAGATGATCCCAGGAATCTGTCTTTGAAAGATGACGGAAGATAACTGGGACACCATGTATATTCTCCAACAGAGTTCGCTAGAATTGTTTAATATCAAAAATAAGTCATCAAAATAATTGTTAAAAGTATCAAATGAGATCATTATGATATTGTTATTTTTCTAATATGACTTAGGTGACTTTTAGGACGTCATACTGATGTCATGAGTTTCATGTTCTACCTGGGAATGTCCTTACTAATGTCGCAGGTCTCCGGGTGCCCGCAATGATCCTCGATTGAAACGTGCTCGCTCAAGCTGACGGTCGACGATGCTAGGGCGACACGAGGCGGGGCAGATTGATATTTTTTTTTTTTGTAATGAGAAAAGAGAAAGAAAAGAGAGAAAGAGCGAGAGATGCAGTTTGTCTCCGCGGGCTATTTGAGGCACATCGACTTGTTGTTATTGCTCTTGTTATTGTTGTTGGTTTTAATAAAGTTTAAACGTTAATCACGTGCCAGAGTAAACTTACTGTGCGCAAGTACAAACATCCCTGCTTTGCAAACATCGATGTATTCGTTTATTTTGAGTAAGTTTTTTTCTCGAGTGATAAAACTTGAGTGATAAGATAAAATTTTTTTTCTACACAATTGCTCTCGTTATTTGATGTAAGTAAATATTTTCTGTATACATATAAATGTATAAAAGTAGTAAGATTGAATGATGAAATCGCGTCATTTTCTTTTTATTTTATAAATTATATCGTAGACCTCTCTCTCTTTCCTGATGCTATTATTGAGACACAATATTTATTGTACGATATTTATTTAACAATTAATATAAAAAAGAATATTTTTTTCACAGTCCGAATGCATTTTATCTTTTTATAATTATAGTACGTGAAAATATTTTTAACAATTTATAAAATTTTCGTTAATATGGGCGTTGAATTTTAATTAACTTTTAATTGACATTTAATCTCTCCTACAAGTATGTATAAATTACCTAAGAAAATATTCTCTCTTCGCTTCTTCGAATGCATTTTTTCTTTTTTGTGATTATATAGCATCCGAAAGTATTTATACAATTTTTATTTTAAATTTTCATAAAGATGTGTGTGTATGCTGGATTTTAATTAATATTTAATTAACATTTAATTCCCTACAAATATCTATAAATAATTAGAAAAAAATGTACGGGAAAGTATTTTTAATTTATAAAATTTTCGTAAATATGTGTATTGAATTTTAATTAATATTTAATTAATATTTAATTAAATTTGATCACCTACAGGTATCGACAAACAATATCTAAAATCAAAATTCAATATCAATAATTGTCTAAAAAACATCTTTTTTCATTCGAATGCATTTTACGATTGTATAATACGCAAAAGTATTTTTATTAAAATTTTCAAAGTATAATGCGTAAATATGTGTGTGCTATATTTCAATTAATTTTTAATTTACAAAATTTTCAAAATATAATGTGTAAATATGTGTGCTAGATTTCAATTAATTTTCAATTAATTATCTAATCCTAGTACACAGGACGCATATTTATATAATAATATTTATATAATATTTATAATAATATAATAATAATAATAATAATAATTAATAATGCATATAATAATATATAATAATAATATAATAATTATATAATAATAATAATTAATAATTAATAATGCAAATAATGAAAGGGGAACGAGATAAATCGACGCATGATAAATTATCGCCGTCGATAAATATATCCGTATCAAGACTCACCTGATAAGTCGTCCAAACTCGAGAGCGCTGATCGTTATCGGGGCCAGGGTGAAATGTTTTGCATCTCATCGATTTTCCCAATCATCCAATTCGCACCAATTTCCCGCTGCTTACATCGAGTCGACGAAGAGACGCGAATGAAAGCGCGACAAATAAAAGGAAATATATATATATATATATATATATATATATATATATATATATATTTATTTATTACGCGTGAACGTCGTCGGCGATGCGGTGCCGGGTCGGCGTAAAGTTGGCCGCAACGCGTTGCATACGTCGACTTTCGAGTTATCGATCGCGCGGGTCGCCTCGTGACGTCACCGAGGATCACGCCACATCCCCGCCCGTCGCGGCTCGCCGTCCGATTGGTCCACGCGCGGGCCGGCCGTCTATATTGGTCTACGTCGAGATCCGCGCACCGGCTGCTCCGCGAGAGCCGAGAGAGAGCCCGTATATACGCTCGAGTGTACGACGCAACGTGACACAAGCGGGTTCTCGTCCGACGACGTACGTGAGCGCGCGGATACGCTGCATGCACGACGCGGCCAGTCGAGAGCGAGGTTTTGCGGGCGTAACGCCGTGCTTTAAACAAACAAGGTACGTAAGATCGACTCCCCTTCCTCGCCTCCCCCCCGTTTCGAAAGTTGAGCAAACAATCGCGCGCGGACCGAGGCCCGAGATTCCCTCGATATCGTCGTTTTTTCTCGACGAGGAACGATTCGACTCGATTTCACGTGTGCCCCTTGTGCGAGATTATTTTGTCGAGATATTAAGGATCTCGCGCTTTGCAAAGGTAAGAGATTTCAGTGATGGAATTGTATTTATATCGCGTGCGGAATTTCCGTGAAAACGTATCCTTATGTCTCTATCGCGTGTGTAAAAATACACAGATTATTGGGGATAATGTATACGGGGTGTATCTTAAAAAGCTTCCAAGCAAATAGCGTTATTCCTGATTAAAAACCGAGTCGAAAAATCCTGAAGCATTTTTTCTTTCCAAGATTCCAAAATAATCAGATTTAAGTATTAAAAAGATTTCTGAAAAGATGAATTGTTTGAAAATGAAAACAGTTTATTTTTCTGCTTATCCAAATCTTCATATCTTTTGGCGCAACTTTACTCATTAATTACTGCTTTATTAAGCATTATGGAGAAAAATGGTTCAGGAGTTTTCGACTCGGTTTTCAGGAATAACGTTATTTGCTTAAGGGGGAGCTTTTTAAGATACACCCTGTATAGCACTCTTTCTTCAAGCTCGTGATGGTTAGTGTGCGTATAAAAAGTGGATTATCGATAAGCGACGCGTAATCACGCGTAAATATTCCCGCTTCTCTCGAGTATCGTTTTTTTTTCCCGAAAGATTTTTCCGAATTGCCCGCGTGTGTACAGTATTTTCGGAACATGCCTATGGGCGCCGCTTAACCAGCACGTGTGCAGCTTCCTAAGCGACCGTATGATCGTGCTTTGCGGCCCGCAAAGTGATCGAGCGATGCAACGAGAGGAGGAAAATTGCTATATTTGTCGCTGACTGATAATGCATTGATGCTGACGCAAGTAGAAATCTCAAAGTTCCGCGATAACGCGTTCATTGTTGATGTATATCTCGTTTCTTCCATAGAATCTCTAATCGCTTATTATATCAAATGTCACACCTGGACGAAGAGATTATTGCGAGGAATAAAAATCAATCGATCCGTGTGAATTAACTCCCAACTCGGAGAATATTAAAATATCCAGAAATCCTTCTAAACGCTCTTTGTATCTGAAAAAATATTAAACAAAATTTGACTCTGAAAAATTAAAATTTCAAAAATATTAAAAAGCATTTGAAAAAATAGAGAAAATTTGATTCTGAAAAAATATTAAAATGTTTTCAGAATCAAATTCTTTGCAAGAGAATTATTTAATGGATAGGAATGGCGAAGATAATGTTGATCTCTTATTTTGACGCACGATTTTGAAACGTTGCAGATTTGCTTTTGAAAAATATTTGTTTAAAAAAATTCTGTGACGCAAGAAAGAAATATGTGATTTTATTTCGTGATTTATGCTGTATTTGCGTTTACGTTGCTCGACGTTTTTCAAAATATCAGGCCAGTTCTTTGCAGACGCGAGGCGCGTGATATCATTGTTGTATTTCGCGTGTTGACTAGTGTTGAGTGTGCTTTCAATGTTTACTACGACCGTGTGAATTAACTCCCAACTCGGAGAATATTAAAATATCCAAAAACCCTTTAAACGCTCTTTGTATCTGAAAAAATATTAAACAAAATTTGATTCTGAAAAATTAAAATTTCAAAAATATTAAAAAGCATTTGAAAAAATATTAGACAAAATTTGATTCTGAAAAAATATTAAAATGTTTTCAGAATCAAATAATAATATTTAATACTTCAAAAATTTTTTAAAATATCAAAAAAAATTAGAAAAAAATATTAAATTCCAGAAATCCTTTTAAACGCTCTTTGTCTGAAAAAATATTAAACCAAATTTTAAACAAAATTCACGCTTCGAAAACAAGATGACGAAGACCAGAGGTTTTCGAGTCAATTGTCAACTCGCGCGAGGACTTTGAATCGTGGGTTCAGCGTGGAAAGGTGCTCGCTCGAGAGGAGAAAACCGTGGGAGGGAAACGCGAAGGGTGTTTTTCGCGAGTGGGGCGCCGCTGCGTCCAAAGTTTGAAGAAACCCGAGCGTATTTTCCGCGCCGACAGGGGTCGCTCGCGGCGCCCCATCGATCTGCGGCTAGGTTCAGGCGGCAAGATGGCCCCGGCGGCGGCGGCGTTGATCCCGGAGTCGGCCTGTCATCCGCGCTGGCCTTAGCGCGCGCGCGTATGTACGTTACGTGCTCTTTACCCGGGACCCGCAGTCATACGGTGATTTCGCGCGTGACGCGACGCTTACCCGGACAGTCCGATCGAGGATCGCGATGAGTGTCGAGAGTGCGAACCAAGGAATCTGACGGAGAAAAAGAGAAAGAGCTAGGAATTCTCTCCATCTGGACACGTGGCGTGGCGGTCTCTTGCTTCGCAAAAAGGCTCCTTTTCACGGCCGAAGATTGCTGCGCAACTGCCCCTCGGCAACGATGTAAGCAAGTTTCCCATCATGTGTCAATAGTAGAGTGATCTAGGAGGAGAGGAAGTACTTTACCGGGAGATGGAGATTTTCATTTCCAGCAGAAAGTATATGAGATGTTTGAGTGAGAAGAGGTGATCGAGATACAGATTTAAGGTTATACGTCCAAGGGATGCGTCGATTTCACACTTACCACTATCATTAAGCAGGAATTATATGAATTATATGTAACGGTACTCTTTCGTGTTCCCTGATAGCTATAGGCATAATCGTTGCAAATTGCTGGCATCGTTATCGTGGTTAGAAGCGTAACATTGAACTGAATATGTGTGTCGAAAGAGAGGAGATTGCAGCGCGTATATATCGCGATCCTCGCCAAGTAGTCAAACAGAAGGCAATGTAAATAAAGCTTGTTGCTTGGAGATGTTCATAAAACGTCTCGATGATCGAGACGTATCTTTACGTAACGTTTACGTAACGTGTGTAATTTTCAATTGAAATTAGCCGTCTTGCGAGGACAAGGCAAGGTATATTCGCATCTCTTCCTGTCTCACTCTCGTTTTTACGAGTGTTGTTACAACAGAAACAATGATGTTGAGGTACGAGCGAACGAGTGCTCGGTTTACTCCGGCTCTTTTAGCGGAGCGCGATATGATTGGTCCGATTGACAGATCAGCCACGTGTTACACTTTTTTTTAGATGCATCGCGTTCGCAAGAGCAGTCTTCAATAATCACATTACCGTGAATAATAAACCGTTATCATCTTTGTTGCAGATAAACCTCATATATTTTCTAAGGATACACAGAAAAAAAGGACATTCTTGTTTTGAAAATGGGCGTTTTCCTAGTTAGCGACACAGAGGACACAGTTTGTCACTTCATCCTTGTTGGTTGCCGAATGTAAACAAGGATGAAATGATTCACTGTGTTACACTGTGTGTCCTCTGTAGCGCTAGCTGGAAAACGCCCAATATATTTAATTTTAACATGAAAATCTTGAAATGAAATTATTGCGTTAATTATAGAAAAATATAATTGCTTGAATAATTGCTTACTTGAATGAAGCCATTTTATATAGTTCAATCAAGAAAAATATATTCTTATGATTTAAGATTTAATTTTCTTGAATGAAAAAGAAACAATGTTAAATAGAAAATAACATTTTTAAATCAAAGATTATAATTTTCTTAAAGTAGAATTAAATAATTATATATTCTTGAGATGACAATTAATATTATAATTGTCATCTCAAGAATATATAATTATTTAATTCTACTTTAAGAAAAGAAATATTAATAATATTAAAATAAAATTGTAAAATTGTTGAAATTTAAAATTATTAAATTCTTCTAAGAAGATTATAAATTGTCGCTTATATACGAAACAATGAACGCGTTAGTTTAAGTATCTAAATTTTGATTTGACACTTATTTTTTTTCTGTGTATGAAGATATTTCTCCTGTGAGCTAACCGTATCAATGTTCGATCGATCAATCTAAATTAATGCATAAATTTTAATCGTTGCAACAAAGAATCGATCTCCCTCAATTATCCTTATAAATAAATAGATTTATAACTATGATTTATAATCATATTATAATCTTTTTGTCTTGCGTGCCTTTTATTTAAAGACAAATGCCGATAAAATGGAGTCATATCGATGATGAAATGATGTAACGAAAAAATAATATATGTATAAAGAAATGTGAAACATCTCTTTTGCTATAATAGATATTTCACACTTTGCTCTCGCGAATGTCTTTACATTGAAGATTTGATAAATAATACAGTTAGTTTAAGTATATAAATTTTGATCTGACTTAATTTTTTTCGGTGTATTCATGAAATAAGTCGTTGCGTATCGACAAGTTGACATCGCGATTCAAATAAAAGAATGGAATAATTTAAGAGAGTCTTCTTCGATCCTCTTCGAAGGATACGACAGTAATAAAGCGTGCCTGACTTTCGAGGAATTTTAACCGCTCGTGTCCTCGATAAAGTAAAACGTCGAGTTGTCGAGATCGTGCTCAACGTCCCAATTCGCGCCAAACAGCTGTTCCGTGCCGGGTACCAATTCCATTCACCTTCGATCGCGTGGCGTCGTTTTATCGAATGATCCCAAACGAGGTCCACGCGCGCGGTCGGTTCGCGATCAAAGATCAAAGGTGGATCGTATGTAGTCGGAGAGCCACGGTCGTGCTAGCGTGACAATCGTTCATTGACCGTCCCAAGACGCGTTGCTACTCCGCCCTCTCTCTCTCTCTCTCTCTCTTTTTCTCTTTCTCTTTTTATCTCTCGCGTTTCTCCCTTTTACCCTACATCACCCGTCTACTCTTACGCGTCGTGTCACGCACCCGCGCGGGCGAAAGAAACGCGTACGCACGCGCGTACACACACCCACGCACCATTCTTGACCCTTGAATCGCGCGTAGTGATAATTTCCTCTCCCGCGATCGCGGTGGGAAAAGCGAGCGGCAGTCGGCTGGAAGCGACAGCGATCTCGCAAGCAGGAAGCCGCGAAAGGGGAACCAACCGTCGTGTCGCGACTCGCGAGGTAAGCGATGCTGCTGTTACCAGGTCTGGCGCTCGTCGCCACCTGTCACCGGGCCTCAGAATTCCGGGACTCGTCCCGCGATCGTCCGGCTTCTCCTCATCCCGCAAAAGAGATATGTCACAAACATGCGGTATAAAATATATAAAATTATTAATAATAAAATTATAAAATTATAAAATAAATAACAAGATTATAAATTTATAAAAAATATAAATATATATTTTATAAAATATGTGTAAAATAATGATTATATGAAATAATGCAGACATGTCAGACGAGAATATTTGGACTCATTGCAACGATTTTATTGTAAAGTTGGGTAAATAAGGGTTGGCATTTTCGTTTATTGATAAAGGCTAAATTTGATTGATTCCATCTCGTTCGATGTCGATGAAAATTAATATTTTTATTTGTAAAGATTGATTGCAGATATCAAGCGGAAATACAATTATAACGTTTCCTTGAACAATTCTTCCTGATGTCAATAACTTTCCAATCATCCTTCAAAGCGCGGTTTTTTCCTCTCTGAATCATTCGTCAACGTTTTTTACGCGACAATTCTTGAAATCCATCTCCAGCTTCCCGGGGAACGCGATTCATAGAGGAATTATACGACATTCGGCATGTAATATAGTGCACGCTGAACCAACCGAAGCGAATCATGACCGGAAATGAATAATAATTCGCGTCTTTATCGAAATTATTAGTTTCGAGAATTTAACGGTTGATATCCAGCGGATATCCAGATCGCCAGATCGGCAACCGTATTGATCAATGGCTTTATTAATGAACAGGAAAATTATGGAAATGGCATCGTTTCGCTCTACTTAATCTTTTACGATTTGATTAAAATTATGAAATTATAATTAGGATTTTATGTATTTTTATTCAACACTGCTTTTTCTCATATTATTTAACACTATTACATATTTATAATATGTAATAGTGTTAAATAATATGAGAAAAAGATATTAGAGTAAAGTAATTGGAAATTAGATTTACATCGGATTTAGCAAACCATCTTTGTACATAACCATGATAAGTAATTCTTTTAATATTCTATGCATAAATTTGACTATGATTGATTGTCGAAATAATGCATTTCAAACTTGTTTTCAGCAAGCACGTGGCAAATCGTATGCAATTTTTTATTATTATAAATTAGCATAAAATAAATGTTTTTTTTTTTTTTAAGAATAATTTTCATTGACACGATTATCTTTCTATTTTTTTCAAGAAAATAAATATTAAATTTATTAAATTCTAATAAATAAATATATTTTAATTTTATGTCAATATCATGTCTTATTGATAAATATATTTATTTATTTTTTTTATTCTTGTTATATTTTTTATATAACAACAAAATAATTTTCATTTATTTGTATTACTTGTAAAATTAAATGAAGAAATATTTAGGCTTATAATCAATTACTAAGATATTGGTATTTTCCGGATATTCTATTTATACTTAATAAATACTTTTTTTTCAAAGTGCTACCACTAGAAACTACTAGAAAACCAGTTTTGCCACGTTTAAACATACATGAAAATATATGACAGTAATATGCAGGAATGTGAAACGCATATTGACCCCAATAAATACGCACATGCTGCATTAATAACTTTTTTATTAATTATTTTCGATAAATTCTAAATAATTTACAATCATGATTCTCTTCGCAATTCGATTCGTTATCAATGTATCAATGTAAAAAGCTAATTTTTTAAATATATTAAGAAGTCGCGATGAAGGAAGACTATTAACGAAGTCGTCAGGCATCTTGCTTGATTGGTCGCAGCTGCAATTCGCGAGCTCGAGAATGATGCATAGCATATTCGTGTCAGACGGGACGTGGACGATCGGCTAGACGGAAACAATCCGTAAAGTAGTACATGGTGGTTTCATCATTGACCGTGCGCGAGGTTGTTAATAATGACGATATAGCGTGAAATCTTCCCCCTCGCGTGGACCCTCTTTCAGTTCTCTTCCGCTCTCGCGGCGATGATTATTAACGTTTTTTTTTAAATCGATGCAAATGTATGGAATTGACTTACTCGATTTTTTAACTTACTCTCGAAAGAACTCGGCAAACGTGTAATCTGCGAAATTGCGTTCAAATTTATACGATTAAAATTGATTGTAACTTTTCTTCGATTGGTACCATTCTTGATAATTCTGTGATAATTTCTGCTTAATTCTCTATATTCTTTCCGACAGAGCGGTTTCTATATAAATCACGTACAATCTGATAAATTTAAATTTTATTTTATTATATCTATTTTCAATTTATCCGTGGAAAGGATTAATATATGACTTGTTATTTATGCATAAATGCGTTTGATATTATACACATATTTTAAATGTAATCTATTTTGATAGGAAACTTGCATTTGCTCCGGTTTAAATCAATGTTTAATGTTACGTAATGAAGATGTTCAAAGAAAATGTATGAG